TATTGGATTCTCCTTACATAGTAATGGAGACTAAATAGAGACAATGTTTACCACAGACCATCTTACAGTATAAATCAGTTAATATTTTCCATCCATTAGCAAAACCCATGGCTCCTTTCGGGCGTGCAATCGCCGTTCAACAATTGACATTCGCCATTTTATCCGACAACCTTTTTTGAAATAGCTATATATTTTTGTAATCTTATATTGTAACATTTGTTTTGTATTTTAACGAATGCAATAGATTATATTGAATGTTATTATATTTATTATTAATATTAGTTTTAACCACTTTGAATTTCAAAAAAAGCACGCTAGAACTGCGGGTGTTACTGTATTGTCGCGATACTTACCGTTGCGTGATCAAAGTGAGGCTCGTAATGTCCCGCAATGCCGTAATTAACAATCTATCGAGAATCAGAAGGCAACTTTCAAAAACTATGCACTATATAAAATTTAAAGTTGAATTGAATGGAATGGTGAGATTGGGAACAAATGGATAATGAATCAAATAGAATTATTTGAATGGAGTTAGATCGTCTGAATAGGATGGGATCACTTTAATTTAAGGGACTGCGCAATATTTATCAGATTTATCAGAAGCAGGGGGGAGGAGGGGGGGGGTAGAAAAACTGAATCGAATCGAATGGAACGTATCGAAATGGATTGGATAGGATTATTTGAATGGAGTTGGTATGTGTCGTCTGAATAGGAAGAGATCACTATACTCCAATTGATTCAAATCAATGAACAATGGAAAGAATGCAACAGGAAGTGACGTCACCTGTAATGCCTCAGCTGAAGTTCTWCTAGCATCCAATCCCGTCATCAACGATATTCGTCTGTTAACTCTCTTAAGTGTATTGTGATCGTTGTCATGGAGATGATCTTCTAACCAACCACTAGAATAGAACAAAGCAGAACGCGTTAAACAATACCTTTTTCAGTATATGAACGATGAAAGAGAAAGCATGCATGATACCTTTTGCTAACTCTGTAGTCCGCGAATTCCAGTGCACCAGTATCAGGATTGGTAACAGTTGCTCTCTTTAACTGCAGATATTAGAATAAATTGTTTTTTAAATGAGTGAATCAACTCGCTAACCAAGCAACCAATAAATGTCATTCATTCAATCAATCAATCAATCAATCAATCAATCAATCAATCAATCAATCAATCAATCAATCAATCAATCAATCAATCAATCAATCGATCGATCGATCGATCGATCGATCGATCGATCGATCAATCAATCAATCAATCAATCAATCAATCAATCAATCACCAATTAACCAACCAATCAAACAATCAATCAATTAAGCAGGCAAGCAGGCAGGCAAGCAGGCAAGCAAGGAGTAAATGTCAATCAATCATTCGATCAATAAAAAACTCAACAGTTAAAAAATAAATAAAATAATAAAAAAAACTATTCAATTAATTAATTAATCAGCTGAATCGTATAGGCATCGTACCATTGGACCAGCCTTTTCCTTGATATATTCTATCTCACTATCGTACAATACGTCTCGCAGCATTACTATATAAGGATCTTCGTTAACTATTTCAACTTTCAGTGGTCTAATGAGAAACCATGGGTGTCTTTTTCTTTCATAGTAACAATGTAGTCTGGTTAGCTCATCTTTGGGCTGAAAAAAATAAAGTATGAAGTAATTTGATAAGTATAATCCAATAGATGTTGTTTTCCCCCGTCTTAGTATAAGAAAGTTAATGATTTGATTCTTTCAGACTCKTTCCCAGTCGTTTCTTTTCTTGATTTATGTGTGAAATTCTTTTCCAATTGATATCGAATAAGAAGGCAAAGTATGAAAAGTGTAGCGTTCCCTTTGAGATCATATACAGTCAATCTTATCAACGTTGTTAAGTTGTAAAGACAGAAAGACAACAACAAAGTCCTTTGCTTACAACATAATTTTTATTTTTTTTCCCAAAAGTATTCAACATACACAAACTAAGTTCCAAAACTTCTTTGCAATATACCAATTATATTTAATTCGCTATCCATCCGAACTTTAAAATTAAAATTTCTCCTGGGAATTCTAAAAATACCGTTTTCTGCAAAAATGTTGTTGTTGTCTTTAAAATTGCGACGGTGTTACATGCAATGGGATTGACTGTATATCAACATATTAAGTTTATTAAAGAACTTACTTTTTTCGATTCTCCGCGACACAGTCTTTCATATATTTTCATAAATTCTTCTTTCTCTTTTTTGGGTTTTTTAAAGAATTCATTCTGTCGTTCAAATTTTCCGCCTTTGTTCATAGAAGCTTGAAGCTCGTTTGATAAAAACTCTACATTTCTCGTGGCAAAATCGTTTTCTTTATCTGTTGAATATTACAGAATTACTTGAGGAATGAGTCCACTTACACTTCAACTTCAAAGAAGAAATTGTAAGCTTGTTGTCTCTTTGAAAAMGAGCTTCGAAAAAGCTGCATTTCTACGACTGGATCCTTAAATTGACCTTAACATTAAGTGACAATGAAAATAGACGAGAATTTCTTACAAAAATAACCTACCTATTTTAAGTATCTCTATAGTATGATTAAGAGCGTCGACCAGATGATCAGTCTAAAAACGTAAAGAAATAGTTAGTAATAAGAAAGTTATGATCAAATTCTCATTTTATAACTTAAGGCTTGCAAGGAAATGCCAAAAAAAAGCAACTTGCACGTTAGTGAACCCTTTTTTATCTCMTTAAATATGATAACAAATGCCAAAGTTTTGATAATATTGTAGATTTTAAAGCTTTTAGAAACTTTAAATTGGGAAAAAACTTGCAGTTATTTTAGCGAAAAATCACCGTAAACTGTCCACCATGTTTGTTTTATGTAACCAGGCCTGCCACATGAGAAGGCCGGGCAACATAGGAACACAGGCAATCCGCACCAATATTTTGAGATTGCTTTTTGTTGTAAATTTATGAAGGGATAATAAGCAGAAATATTAAAAGCGTCTCACATGTCTTTACTTAGCTACCAAGAGAACAGAAAAGATCAAAATTTGCAAAAACAACACCTTTAGTGCTTCTGACTCTATTTGTTTTAGCTTGGGATTCCTGTGTCATTTCTAAAGCTGCAGCACCTGGCCTTCATGGCATTTTTGGGCCTCGATGTAACATGGAAAACATGTACAACGAGAGGGGTTTTGCGAGAAAAGAGAAAATTAATACGCCTAAAAGCAAGGTAAGATTGCAAAATGTACATATTATTTCCAACTGAGGGGTTTTATAACAAAGCACTGAAAGAAAGATTGAAAGCATGAGAAGTCTACGACTTGTGAAACCGAGTAGAGGGAAATTAAAGATTAATATGCCAATTAAAACAAGAGAGTTGCAGAAATTATCACTAGAGGGATCCTTACATGCATATTCAAGTTTATATAGCCACATATTAATCCCAGATGTAAAATGTGGATTTTTGAAATTGACTTCCCAGATGTAAAATGTGGATTTTTGAAATTGACTTCCATAATTGCACAGATTTTCTATTTGGATTCTTGCTATATAATACAAATTCTGTAGTACACTTATTTGGGATTAATTTGGTAACACTTACATTATACAGGTAAAAAATTTCTTTGACTGCGAATTTAACTTGGTCATGCTGGGGCATGTGTAGGGGGTAGTTCCATGGTTTCCAGAACCCCCTTTCACCCACCCCCCCCTTCCTTAGTAGCTAGAGTCTTTATAATACGAGACTTCATTTGCCAAATCAATGGGGTAACATATTATTGTATAGTCCAAYTGTTTGCTTGGTATGAATTTAAAACAGTACCCAAGCATTCAATCCACACAAGTCCATCAACAATCAAATTTCCTTGTAAACTTCTCTTTTGGCTTTAATTTGAAGGGTGTCATGGTAACCTTGAGAAACTCTCACATTCCCTCTAAATATTAAATATCCCACAAATCCGGGGGGGGGGATCATTTGGTCTTACTCACCATATACTGTGACCAAGCTAGAAACTCCAATATATTCACTCGTGTTAACTCCCCCTTGTCCCCAGGCTCGTCGTACCGTTTTAGTGCTTCTAACATCCAACTTCGTGATTCCTCATGAAGCTCGGCTTGATAATACGARTATCCGATCTCATAGCACATATTAGCGTTTAGAGACGGGGTTAATGTTATATGAGAGAGTCTGCCATCCGCTATGGCCTTTGCTTTTATTTTGTATACTTCTTGGATTCGCATTATTGCGCTAAGGCAACCSGAAACATCTTGTTTGGAGAGCGAAGTTTTGACGTTGAAGGCGATTATTTCAGCTAGSTCTACAACGAGATAAAAAAGATTATATGAGCTCACAAACGAACTGATTATTAAGAATTTGGGGTGCGCATGCGTGTACTGGTCGACACACAAGGATTGGGATGGATCCCACATTGAAGACAAAATAGTTTGAAGAAAGAAGAAGCAAGTTATGATTAGCTGAAGGATAATGACAATRTTGAGAAAACAATAAAACAACACCGAACAAGAAGAATGATAAGCGAGAGAAAAGTAACGAAAAGAATGGAAAGAGAAGTTAATTAAGAAACCGAGGAAGCTGCGTGACCTGTAGCAGCAGAAGTAGCAAGAAAAGACTATAGCAGGCAAGGAATAAGAAAAACGAGAAATACCACGGAAAGAAGGAGCATAAAGAAGTAGTAAGAGTAGAGGTCAACTTAAAAGAAAAGAAAAAAAAAAAAACAAAAGAACAAGTCGCAGATAAAAACAAGAAAAAACAACAAGGGGAGAGCAAAGAGAAAGAAGTAGCAAAGTTATGAAGAAGAGATGACTTCTGCTCGAAAAAAGAAAAGAGCAAGAAGAAAATAACAACAGCAAAATGAAATATAGTAAAATCAAGAGGGGGAGAGTTGGGAAACTAGAGTAGCGAATTTRAAGTAAGAGGAAGAGATGGTAGAACAAGGAAAAGCAAGTTGGAGAAATGACGAGACAAAAGCACCAAAACTATATGAACATAAAAAGAACGAGAGCAAAGAAGAATTCATTCATTACATTTGAAAATACAAGAATATATATTACATTGCCACAGGTGAACAACTTGTAGTTTTATAAGTTTTTTTTAGTCTAATGTTATAGAAATGACTATCAATATCAAAATATACAAGAAAAACAGACGTGAGACTACTCACGTTCACTAAAATCGTTAGCATCAGTGATTGCATTTATTATTAACCTGGTTGAAATGATCAATAAAAACAAGGTAGAACTTTTACGTGCGGTTTCTCATGTACTTTCAAGAGGAGAACTCGATGTTCACACAATAAGGTTACTATAGCTTTGAAGCCACCTGCATCTCAAATGAAAACTCGCTTACGGGAAGCCACGTGGTAACTTGACAGTAATTCTCAGTGATCACTCGAGGAAACAAGAATTCAGATCACTTTTTCTCCAAMCCGAAAAAATCGTTTATTGATATTTGATAAATTCAATTAGATTACTGAAAGAGGAGTTAAACATTTTTCTGTCCTTATTTGATTRTATTACAAAGCTTTTCTAGTAAATATTGTTTTACTGACAATTTTTTCACTGTTTTTATTATCAATATGAAATACACTTAATTAACGTATTTTATATTGGAGTTTTTTTCATTGCTTTGCTTGTATATTGGTACAATACGTTTGTGGCTGTTAAACAGTTACATTCTTTGAACATGTTCGTTCTAGTTTGAACATTCTGTTTTACTGATTAAGGAAAAGCTTGTTATCTATAAACAAGAGACTTTGTTAAACTAGCAAAAAAGTTAAAGGATTTTAAATGCTTATAAACAAGGTTTAAAGAACAACGGTATTATCAATTGTGTACGACGTATTTCACATATTTGTAAAGAACCCTCGTAAAGCTAAATAAATATTATAAAGCAAATAATGATAAAGAGTGTAGATGCAATATCTCGAAGTAAACAATTCTAACTAATTTTATTATAAATTAGTTTCAGTTCAGAATAATTTCACTTCTTCAATAAGGGTTAAAAATATTTTTAGTTCATGTCGGTTGTCAATGACTACTAGCATATACACCTTCTATATATCTTAAATCAAAATAACTGCAAAAATATGTATAATCCCATGTATCATTATCTATATCTAAAATATGATTCTTTGAGAGTTAGCTTATTATCGGCAAAACTCATATATATTACACTTGTATATACAATGGATATTACCTGAATCTTCATCGTGTTTATCAAGATACTTTCCCATATCAGTCCATGTGCCACGAAATCGCCTAACCAATAGGAAAGCATTCACAGGGTGCCCCAAGAAAGTCTCTTCGTCTCCTTTAATATATGACCTATGATCTTTCACTTCTTCGACAAAATCCTTAAACTTTTCCGGCATTTCAGGATGAATCTTTATATAGTYCTCCAGTTGCTCGAGTAAATCTTTTTCAAGCAGTATGAGCTCTTTCATATGTGCGAGAGCTGTGTACACCTCCGCGTGTGCTAATGCAATGGCACCTAGTATTACTAAAATTAAGGTGGCTGTAGAKGACTTCATTCTTGTGGCTATAATTRTTTAAAAGATTCCCTTTTTAGCGGTGAAAAGCTACGCCATACGGCGCTTTGCCACAACTAACATCGAATGGCTAAAAAATTCATCCAACGCGCTTTGTTGGGTGACCACGTGTGACGTCATGATTGCAAAAAAATAGCGGGTACCTGTGTCACGTGACATGACCAGCAGTTTAAAGATAATCGTTTCTAAAGGCTGCTCTTAGAAATGAATTAATTAAGATATTATTTAAAGATACTTAATTTCCAACTGATACTTACTTCTGATTATTTTGTATGACTATTTTAACCGTAATTTGTGGTTATYTAGCCTTAACGGTTCAGTTATTTCTGAGCTTCTTGTTGTTAGATAAAGCGCCGTGGAAACTTTTCGGTTCATTTGCTCGGCTGAACGTTGMCATGACATATCCTAGAAACGCTGAAGTGTTAATTTTCAAAGCTTCGTCCTGATTTTCCTCGGTTTAAAGTTTGATTTTAAGTGATACAAGATGGTGATTCAAAACCTTTTTCAAATTTTAATAAACAACTGGAATTTTTTTTTTACCAGATTTGAGAACTGCTTAAACTAATTACATGTAATTCCATTCATAAAAATGTTGACCTGTTAATTTTCAACATGAAAGAAAAATAACTAGCGAATTCGGAAAAGAATTCTTAAAATCTTTGGCATTTCTTTGACCAAATCTGGAATACCCTCTTGTCCTGTAAATCTCATRCACTCGCGCGCTAATTGGCTGTTCAGTCAGTCAAGTTCCCTTGAAAGCAGAATAGACCCTTTTAGCGATCTCTTTTACGCTGTATGAGCCTCAGAACCTTGTAATAAATAGAGGATATTACATGGGCGCGCGGAGATACGGATTTTATCTTCGAGTGTTGAAAAGATCTTTCCTACGAGTAAGCGTAGCAAACAAGTGAGATATTTTCAACACGAGAAGATAAAATTCGTATCTCCAAGCGAACATGTAATATTCTATTTATCATATAATTGTATTTGARAGCAAATTATGTCGTAAAATAGTTTTTTCCTTACTTCCACTATATAAAGAAATCCCGAATGTTATTTTCACTAGTGAAATTATCAAGTTTACGAAATGGAGAAATATAGGTATTTCATAGATAATTATA